CACCCCATCAGCCGGAAGAAGATGATGACGATGACGAGGATGAAGATGATGAAGAGGAAGTAGAAGAGTTTGTGCCGGAAATGCCGGCGGTTCCCAGTGATGTGCTGTTTGCTCTGTATTGTGAAGATGTAGAATCTTTTTGGGTGTCTATGGTTGGTTTCAGATTTGACTGGCTTAGGTTGAAATATATGTAATTATTATTATAAATAATTATTATAATAAATAATTATTGCTATAAATAATTATAATTATAAATAATTATTATTATGGATAATTATTATTATAAGTAGTTATATTACAGGGCGGTTATGACAACGGTTACTTGTATGAGTGTGACTTCACAGCTAATGACGTCAGCGATACGTCATTAGATCGTCGTCAGCTGTTGATGGCCAGCAGACTGGATAGCACCGACACCACAGTAGTCAGCTGTTTGTACTGGTTCGTTATTGCGATTGTAGATATTAAAAATAAAACATAGACATGTAGACAACAACAAGGAAGTAAACATAGACAACGAAACGCAAACAACAGTGCAGCGACTAACCACATGATCTTTGGTACGCAAGATGGACGACTGCTGGTCTACTTGTCTGAAAGTTCTAGGCCGGATTCTCTGGCACATTGTTTCACTCTTGGTTGGTTGGTTGGTTGATTGGTTGGTTGGTTGGTTGGATGGTTGGCTGGCTGGTTGGTTGGTTGGTTGGTTGGTTGGTTGGTTGGCTGGCTGGTTGGTTGGTTGGTTGGTTGGTTGGTTGGTTGGTTGGTTGGTTGGTTGGTTGGTTGGTTGGTTGAATCGATTAGTTAAAATGAATGAATTTTTAATTCAAATTGTTCTTCTTATTCCTTGCCACCCTCATTGTTTCAATCATTTTCATCATCGTCGTCGTCATCATCTTCGCGAAGGGATTCACGATTCGGTTGGAGGCGACATAAAGCACATCTCCCTGAGTTACGATTTAAAGAGCATCTTCACAGTCGGCTCTGACGGAAACGTATTCATGTTCGACTACAATCCCAAACGGAAATCGATCGGTGAGGAAGGCGAAAATAAGGAGAAAATGATTGAGGAAAAGAGGGTAAAGGATTCTAGTGAAGAAGATGAAGATGATGGAGAGGAAGATGAGGAAGAAGATAAAGAGGAGGAGGAGGATGTGGAGTTTATTGGCGGGGAGAGGACTGCCAAGATCCCTGCTTATATCGTGAGTTGTTTGTTGTCGGTTGGATTAGATTGGTTTGTCGGATGGTTGGCTGGTTGGCTGGTCGATGTGTTGACTGATTAGTTGGGTGGTTGACTGGTTGGTGTGTTGATTGGATTGCATTGGCTGGCTGGTTGGATGGTTGCTTGGTTGGTTGGTTCATCTGGCTGGTTGGATGGTTGCTTGGTTGGTTGGTTCATTTTGTTTATTTGACCTGACCAGGAACTCCCCGATGTTGAGGATATCACAGATTCAAACGTTGCCAGGTTCCTATTACGCTACCACCACCACCACTACCACCATCGTCATCATCACAACCACCACCACCATCACAACCACCACCATCATCATCACCACCACCACCATCATCACCACCACCAGTCTGGAGGGAGCTATGTTGATGAGGAGATCTCTGGAGAACAAGAAGAGGGCGGGGGAGAACCAGAGGACTAAGTTGGAGATAATCCGGAAGATGCAGAGGTCCTTCAGAGACCTCTCTGCAAGGAATATGGCTCTATCCGAACACCTCAGACTTCATCCTGTGGTGAGAATGCTGGTGGTGGTGCTACTACTACTACTACTACTATTACTGCTGCTGCTACTAATACTACTACTACTATTATTACTGCTACTACTACTACTACTACTACTACTACTACTACTACTACTACTACTACTACTGCTGCTGCTACTACTACTTCTGCTATTGTTACTACTACTAATGCTGCTGCTGCTACTACCACAACTACTACCACAACTACTACCACAGCTACTACTACTACTACATAATCCTCGTCATCATCCTCATAACTACTATCAACATCACCACCATCATCATCATTATCAGGAGTTCGTGATGAACAGAATGTTCGAAGAGGCAGCAGACGAAGTGAAGAAATTGAAGTTGGACGAAGCCGAGCGGATGCTTCTGTTCGAGACGACGAAGACTCACATCACCTGGAAGAAAGTCAGAGAGAGGTGCTGATGACGTAATAACAATTATAATAATAATTATATTATATTATTATTAATTATAATTTATTATTAATTGTTATTATTATTAATTATAGTTATTATTATTATAACGAACAACGATTTAAAGAGAGAGGTGCTGATGACGTAATAACAATTATAATAATAATTATATCATATCATTATTAATTATAATTATTATTCTTAATTATAATTTTAATTATTATTATTTATAATAATAATAATTATTATAACGAACAACGATTTAAAGATACATGGAACCCATAGCATCTGATCTGATTACGGTATGCGGTCTGAGGCACGATCTGAAGGTGTCCAGCTTCCGACTTGTCAATATACCGGTCGAATTCATGCAGAAGATGAACGCCATCAAGAATAGCGCTTTTTTAAGGTTTTGATGATGATGACGATGGTGGTGATGATGTTGATGGTGATTATGATGGTGATGAAGAAAGTGATGAAGATGGTGATGAAGATGGTGGTGTTGATGATGGTGATGGTGATGTTGATGACGATTTTATAGATCCACCATGCTCCGATCCAACGCTGAAAAACAAGATGGCGACAATGAATCAAGTTAGTGTTCTTACTTTTTCATTCCTTTTTCTTTTTATTCTTTTTCTCTGTTTTTCTCACCATCCCCCCTCTCTCTCTCTCTCTCTCCCTCCTCAGAATCCAGTCCGGATGAGGTGATGCTGACCAGTCAGGAGGCGCAGAACTTCAAGTACAGGCAGCTGTTCTCGAAACTCATGAAGATGGGCAACCACGGCGAGAGGAAGATGAAAACTCTCCAGAAGATGGAGATGTGGCGTCTGCAGAGAGAGGCCAGGAGGAATGAAGTGAGATTGTGATGTGGGATTGGTGAGGGTGAGAGAAATTTGTGTGTGTCGCTTACGCGAATTAGAGTAACAACTGTTGTCAGTTAGTTGTTATTCGTTCGTATTAGAGAACAAGAACATTTATTCATTTGTTTACCCAATCATTTTTTAATTCATTAACTCATTTATTAATTCATTAACTCATTAATTAATTAATTAATTCATTCATTCATTTATTCATTCATTTATTCATTCAAAGTGGGAAGAGTTTTTGAAAAGTGAACCTCAGTACCAAGTGGCGGCCAACGATGACGATAGCGACATAACGGAAGCCAAGAGCAACTTGGGCGACATGAAGCTGAAGATGGCTGTTGAAAATAAGATAACCTCGAGCAAGCAGATGATGACTATGGAGAAATCCAACAAAGCCATGGTCAATCATTTGTTGTTGGTACGTGTTTGCATTTTCTTCTCTCTTTTGTAACGTCTGCCTGAATGTATGTGAGTGATGATAAAGACATTATTGACGATGACGATGCTGATGATGCTGATGGTATTCATCATTCTCAAAATCATCATCCTCATCATCATCATATTCATCATCATCATAATCATCCTCATCATCATCGTCGTCGTCGTCATCATCACGACCACCATCGTCGTCGTCGTCAGCTTCACGAGTGCAAGCAGACGTTCAACGAGCAGCTTCAGGACCTCCGCCAGCACAAGCGCCAGCTGCACAAGATGTATGCTAGGGCCGAAGAGAGACTCCTTCAGCTGCACGATCACATCCCTGTCGGAATGAGGAAGTACCTCAGTCGGGTGGATACCTGGTTCGCTAGTCAGGAATATCCGGAGAGGTCATGATCATGATGATTTACTTATTCACTCATTCATTCGTTCATTTATTCATTTGTTCATTCGTTCTTTCATTCTTTTATGCAGTAAGTTTACTCTCGATAGAGCGACAATACCGAAAGCTCATGGAAAATATACTCTTTTCGTTAGTCGTTCATTCATTCATTTGTTCGGTCGTTTATTCATTCATTCATTCATTTATCCATTCATTCAAAAATGTTTGCAGCATCTGACACAAAAAACAGCAGCAGCTACAGCAACTGCAACGGCCATAAAACCCCAGCAGCAGCAGCAGTTATTTCCCTTACCTGATAATTACATCAATGAGAAAATCAAGATTAAAAAACAAATGCAGTCTGTTTGGTTTATTCCTTCTGTTCACCTTTTGTTCATTCATTCATTTGTTTGTTCGTTTGTTCGTACATATGTTCATCCATTGATTTATTCATTCATTCATTCATTCACTCATTCATTCACTCATTCATTCACTCATTCGATCAATCAATTTCAGATGTTTGTACGAGCAAGACATGTTGATAGAGGACATAAGCAGGAGGTTGAGGCACTTCGACGCCATGCTACTGCACGTCAGGGACATCAAGTTTTCACTCGACAGTTTTGTTAAACAAGCTGAATTGAGGTCTGTCCGTCTGTCTGTGTGTATGTGTGTGTATGTTTGTGTTTGTGTGTGTGTGTGTGTGTGTTTGTGTTTGTGCGTGTGTGTGAAATGTAATATTAGTCTTTTTATATGGATTTTATAACAGTTGTTCTTATTCGTCGCCGCCATAGCAATCATTACCATCACCACCATCATTATCGTCATCATCATCTTCATTAGTATCATTATCAGTATCATCAGCAACGTCATCGTCGTCGTCGTCGTCATCATCGCCAGAGAGTTCTTGCTATTGAAGGAGTTGCTGAAAGTGACGGAGATGTTTGCTGGCGAAGAAGCTCTTACTGGAGTTCTCGAGTCCAAAGTTAAAGATGAAGCCGAATTACTGAAGAAGGTGTGCGTGTGTATTTGTGTGTGTGTATGTGTGTTTGTGTGTGTGCCTTAGTGTGTGTGTGTTTGTGTGTGTGTGTATGTGTGTGTGTGTTAGTTTGCGTGTGTGTGGCACTGCAGGTTTGGCCACTGTTACATACATTACGATCGTCATCCTGATCAACATTATTTACGACAGCACGACGATGAGTATGAAGACAAACAACATCCTCTTCGTCACCATCACTACCACTGGTGACCACTGGTGACCACAGGTGACCACTGGTGACCACAGGTGACCACTGGTGACCACTGGTGACCACAGGTGACCACATTATTTACCTTGCCAGATAGAAGAGCTGATGTCCAAGATTGACAAGTGCCAGAAGGAAGTGGTGAGGTTGGCATCGCAGTTGGCCTCCCAAGAGAAACAGTTCCTATCCATCATACCCGAAGCTTACAAGTTCAATGATTTCCTCATCAAAGTTTATAAGCAGAAAATTCGAAGAAGGGTTTTGATTGAGAGAAAGAGTATTACTGCTGGTTAGTTGTTGTTTTTGTTGTTGTTGATGTTGGTGTTGCTGTTGTTGCTGTTGCTGTTCTTGTTGCTGTAGTTGATGATATCGTTGAATCTAGAGTTATTTTCATTTTTCTTTTCCACGGAGGACCAGATGAGGACGAAGACGACGACGACGACGAAGATGATGATGATGAGGAGGAGGAAGATGATGATGATAGCCTGGATGAGGACGACAACTACATGAATCTGGATGTCTGTCCGGAGGGCTGCAACATTGCTCTGTACGAGAAGACTGTGCAGATGAGAGAGATTAGGTTGATTGATTGGTTAATTGGTTGATTGATTGATTGATTGATTGATTGACACCGATTTATTTATTTATTTATTTATTTATCTGTCAATCTATCCATACATCGATTCTTTTATTTATACTAATCAAGCTTTCTGATGAGAACGCTCGTAAGAATATTTTATAACCGTTATATAAACATTTTTTTAATAATGGATAATAAAATAATAATAATAATAAAATTATCAATTTATTTTGCATCCCATCCATCCATTCACCAACCTACCGACTTAAGAATGGATCTAGCTGAGAAGGTAGCGGACCTGAAGAAACAGAAAGATCAGGCGATGAAGGATTTGGAGGTTAAGAAGAAGATCGTCAAGAGCGCTCAAGAGGAAGCTACAAAGGCCGCCATCAATCTCGACCTCTATCAGGTCGCTTGTGGCTCTTCTGACGTCTCCATCCTTTTCCGCTTTTTCGTCATCTTCATAATCCTCTTCCTTGTCATCTTCACCATCATCACCGTCATCTTATTCTTCACCATCATCTTCTTCGCCACCATCATCACCATCATCACCATCATCATCATCGCCATCATCACCACCACCACGCCACACCACCATCACCATCACAGGTAGCGAAATTGAAAGCGGTGAATGAATTCTACACGGTAGTCGTACTGGTCTTCAAGCAGATCGAGTGTCTGGACGAAGATAACGAACGGATGACCAGTGACTTGGACGGCACTCTCGCCATCGACTACAGCCAATTGAAATGGCTCGAGAATAGAATTGACCAGCTGGAGAAGGAGTGTCAAGGTCAGCTGAGAATTATAAGGTCGGTCGGTCAATGGATTGATGGATTGATTGATTGATTGATTGATTGATTGATTGATTGATTGATTGATTGATTGATTGATTGATTGATTGATTGATTGATTGATTGATTGATTGATTGATTGATTGATTGATTGATTGATTGATTGATTGATTGATTGATTGATTGATTGATTGATTGATTGATTGATTGATTGATTGATTGATTGATTGATTGATTGATTGATTGATTGATTGATTGATTGATTGATTGATTGATTGATTGATTGATTGATTGATTGATTGATTGATTGATTGATTGATTGATTGATTGATTGATTGATTGATTGATTGATTGATTGATTGATTGATTGATTGATTGATTGATTGATTGATTGATTGATTGATTGATTGATTGATTGATTGATTGATTGATTGATTGATTGATTGATTGATTGATTGATTGATTGATTGATTGATTGATTGATTGATTGATTGATTGATTGATTGATTGATTGATTGATTGATTGATTGATTGATTGATTGATTGATTGATTGATTGATTGGTGACTAGATGGATAAATGAATGAATGAATGAAATAGTGAATTTATTTATTTGCAACTAAACCAAAGCATGAACCAACCACATACACACACACACACACACACGCACACACGTAGTACATACAATCACACTATCACACATCCATCCAGGGAGACCCAGGAAAAGCACATCCTTCTGCTTCGCTCTAAAACTCGGATGATGAAGCGAATAGCGGAAGCCGAGGCTGAAACTCGAGTGGCGATGCTACAAAAGTTTGGTAAGCTGGTGAGTATGGAGAAGGTGGAATCCATCCTTGTGTCGCCCATCTTCGAAGAACTGTCCCACGACTTCACCATCATGAAACTCAAGCAGTCGAGCGACGTTAAGATCATTGAGGTCGGTCGGATGGACTAGTGGATGGATGGATGGAAGATTGGATTGTTGGATGGATAGATGGATGAATGACTGAATGAATGAATGAGTGGTTTAATGAATGAATGAATGAATACTGACACTAACACAGTCGAAAATTGAGAAGATGGAAGCGGAGTTATCAAACGAGATGAAGATCAACACTGACATCCTCAACTACCTACTGGCCTACAAAGATATCTCTGATGAACTTGCCAACGATCTCAATAGAACTCAAAATCATATGGTTCATTCATTCATTCATACATTCATTCATTCATTCATTCGTTCGTTCATTCATTCATTTATTCATTTATTCATTCATTTATTCATTCATTCGTTTTCTATTCAAATCAATCTTCGTTTAGCGTCCAGAGACCGAGTTCCCCCGAGGGGAACTCATTCTCATTCGTTTGTTTATTTAGAAATCTATCCGCTCATTCAATCATCTACTCGTCACGATTTGCGCATCAATTCACTTGATATAACGATAAAATCATTGATCAATCAATCAATCAATTAATCGAACAATCAAGTAATCGAACAATCAGTCAATTAATTAATTAACGGATCAGCCAACCAACCAACCGACCAACCAGATAAGCAGTACGCAGATGGAGCCGATAAGAATAAAGAAGCAAATGCAAATGGTAGTGGATCAGTTCCAAGAGTTAGTGGAGCTGAAGAGGACGAGGTACCAACTGCTCTACTGTACTCCATCGTCATTTTTGTGATGACGACGACGACAATGATGATTTTGATGACTGTGGTGATGAAGTTAATGATTATAACGTAACGATGATGTTGATGTTGTGTAAATTGATGGAGTTGATAATAAATTTACACTCGAATGTTAGCTGATGTTGTTAATTAATACTGCAAGCGTGTCAGAAGTACAAATGACGCCAGAAGTTTCTATTCATCTGTCTATTTTCCACGTTTTGTTCTTAAATTACACGAAATTTTTATTACAGTGAGAAGAACACTGAAATAAATCAATGATAATCATTTTGTTAATATTTTCAGCAAGGCTTAACTTGGGTGGGTGGCCATAAAAATTATTCAATTGAGGGCGACGATCAGTGCTGAGTTACAACTCAAAATCATACCACATAAAGAGATCTCAAACTTAAAATCCAAGTTTATACTTAATGTAGAAAGATTTCAATTGAAATCATTTCAAAATTATTTAAAATAACAAAATCACCTGCTAGTAATTTTTCCATTACATTTTTGCATCACACGTAAACCTACACACACACGAACACATATATAGGTATATACAATCAGTCAACCAACCAATCAGTCAACCAATAAACTAACCAACCAGCCAACCAACCAATTAAATTTTCTCCAAACTGAATGAGTATTTTGTTAACTTACCACTGTCAACTGAACTGCCGTATGTTCTGTGTTTGGCCTAAGAAAAGATGTTGTATATCTCTTGGTTTTGTTGGTGATGATGGGGAAAATGTAATTGTTGTGGCTATTGTTGCTGCTGCTGTTGTGGCTGCTGTCGTTGCTGCTGCTGTGGCTGCTTTCGTTGCTGCTGTTGTGGCTACTGCTATTTTTTAGCGGTTGTGTAGTATTTCCAGTGATAGCGATTGCGATATTCATGGAAATATTAATAATATAGTTGACTAATTATACATGCATACTACATATACATGCATACAAAAATACATACAGACAAACATACATGTATGTTTGTAGGTATGTATGTATGGTTGTATGTATGGATGTATATATTGGCAGCCGCTAAAACCTAATGCGTATGGTCTTTGATGTTTGCTAATAAACAAGAAATGTGCATTAAGAGGACCGTGCTTGTCGTCTACCGATGCTAATTTCGTATCTATGTGTGTGTGCGTGTGTGTACGGGCGTGTGTCTGGATGTGCATGCTTCTATGTATGTATACGTTTGTATCTGTGTGTAGATACAAACGCGTATATACGCTCAAATGCATCTTGCGAAGGAGAGCACACGTACAACCGGTAATAAGGACATTTCGGATCAATAAAGAACAAGCTCTCTGCTAGGTCGGCTTGCGTGTATGCCTGTGTGTGATTGCATGTGTGCGTATGTGTGTTTTTGTCTGTCTGTGTGTGTGTGTTTTCTGTGAACATATTGGAATTAATTAAGCGGTGTACATACGTTCGCTCGATATGGATTCCATCAACAATTCACTGCTGGTTGCAATTTCATTTATTTATAACTTGAACACGTAAGTTTAATTGGTTAAGAAAAAATATGAATGAATGAATGAACGGATGAATTAATTGATGAACGCATGAACGAACGAACGAATGAATGAAAAGTGTATCGCTTAAAAATGTATAAGTTAGATGTTTAATGAACGTAATGTTTGAATGGATGAGTGAGTGAGTGAAGAAAATTCAAAAAATGAATGAAACGACAAAAATGAGCGAATGAATGATAGAAAGAATGAAACAATGAATGAATGAAAGAATGAATGAATGAATTCTTATCGTCACAAGCACAACGATCACAAGAATTTCAAAACGAATTCACCAAAATTAACATTGTAAAATTCTCAGCCTTCATAACTCATACTGTATTTTCATGATAAATTAAATTATTTATTTCATTTAAAAGACAATCACGCAAAATTATGAACTTAAATAAAAATATTTATATAATTTTATTAATTATTATTAATATTATATATTTAGACTATAACATTTCTAATTTAAGGAAAAAATTTCAACATTCAAAAAAGATTTTTCTTTAGTTTTCAAGTCAAGTCACCATGGAACAAGTTGCCATAAAAATATTACTTCAAATATTATAAAAATAAAATAATATCTATGTGCGTTTGTCTGTATGTCGGTATGTATGCGCGTGTGTGTATGTATTATTGTATGTATGTGTGTATGTATTATTGTATGTATGTGTGTATGTATTATTGTATGTATGTATGCTTGTCTGGTTGGTTTGATTACAATTTTTCTCTTGCTCTAACTTTTATGCTTGATGCTAATGTTGCATATATATGCATGTTTCTATGTACATTAAGCTTTTTTTTTATTTTTATTAAAGTTGTTGTTGTTATTGTTATAGTTGTTGTTGTTGTTATCACGGACAAACATTTTATTTTCGAGTTAACCATCATGATCATCGTCTTCGCCATCACTGATTTTCAAAATCCGGGAGTGACATCTTTCTACCACTTCCGCCACTTGTTGCGGCTGACGATTTAGAGTTTTCTTCCAATATGGCTTCCAACTTTGTTCCCTCCAGCGATATGCTTCTTCTTCGCCGAAAGTGGTACGACGGTGACGTCAGCTCATCACAAGATGGTAGTATTTCCGTTTCCGGTGGCGGAGTGAGCTTCAAAGATGGCGGAGCAGTTGGTGAGAGACTTTGTGGTGATGATGTTGTCGGTGGTGGTAGTGGTGGGCTGGTTTTTGTGGTGCTTGTGCTGCTAAATATGGTAGATGCAACGCTGATTGGTGAATAGATTGGCGTCGGCTTCGGGTAAAACTGTTTTGATGGTTTGGTGAAAGTTGATTGGTCGAAAAATGTTGGAGGGGTGGGGCTATCTGGTCTGGTTGACCTTGATGGAAATGTTGATGTAAACTCATGGACCAATGGTTGTATTGTAACGGACATTGATCTGGCGACGAGATGTTAATCATCGTTAGGACAGCGAAGGCATCAAACAGCCAAATGAATTCACGCACAGCATGCAAAACAACCAACCAACCTATTTCTTCCGCCAACAACTTTTCCGTAACCAGATCCTCCAAAACTCTCCGCACCTGAAACGCCCATCCCCGACGCACCAGTAGAGTACCCGGCAGCACCTCCCATTGCACTGGCCCCACTCAGAAACATCCCACCGGGCAGTTGGAAGACGGACTTCGATCTTGATGACCTGCAAGCGAAGAGGACCGGGGGAGGAGGGGTTAGGGCCTCACCCTCCTCCCCCGCTGCCTGCGACGCTTTTGAGGGCGAGAGTGATCTGATGGCTTCGAGGCGAGGATCGCAGAGCTTGCCGCTGGGACTTCGTAGTCTGGTTGGATGAGGTGATGGGGGATGGAGTGTGATTGGTCGGTTGCGTGTCAAGTTGTCTGTTGTGTGAATGTTCAGAATAAAATGAAAGGACGTTTCACAAACTTCGATTCGACATCTCCTTTCAGTAAAATCCCACCTCCTGGGTCGGAGAGCCTCCTCAACTTCCGGTCATACTTTTCCGGAATTCCCAAAAGCTGGCGACCAGCTGTTGCAGACGCACTTCCGCTGTTGCTGATATTTGAGGAGAGCGTCAGTGGAGATGTAGGGATGTGCAAAGAATTTCTGTGAGTGATGTAGCGCTGATGGTGTTGATGACGCAACAGAGGTTGACATCCAATCAGATCGCCGAACGTGTCCTCTTCATCTTCTTCCGCTTGCTGCTGCTTTGGACTCGATGGTTTTGTCGATGAAGTAGTGGCGGCCATTTTGTTTTAATCGATCAAAAATTGAGGTTGATGTTACGTGTTTTCAGTTTAATCAACTTTTATCCTATTAAAAATAATTATATACCGAGTTGTAATCGTCGTTAATCAGCTGGAAACCGTGCTGAACCGTATCTAAACGGTGATGTAAGTAGCGAAAGCACATCACTGCAGTATTGGGCCAACTGTCATCCACTTCACTGACGTTTTTCCTAATCTAGTCACTCAGCGTGTGTCTCAAAATTTCTCAAATAATGCATTGCTTGTGACTGTGAACAAGCTTAATATTGATTGTATGAGACCCTACGTATGTATGCATCATATATGTATGTATGTATGTATGTATGCATGTATACATGCATGCATGTATGTATGTATGTATGTATGTATGTATGTATGTATGTATGTATGTATGTATGTATGTATGTATGTATGTATGTATGTATGTATGTATGTATGTATGTATGTATGTATGCAAGTAGTGTGCATTTTAATTGGCTTAGCACAGTCAGGGAAGGGTGGTTTTACTAAATGTTTATGTTTACGTCTGTCTGTCTGTATGTATGGATATTTGTTTGTATGTGTGTATGTATGTCTGTCTGCATATGCGTGTATAGCTGAATGTATGTATTCATATATGTATATATGTTTGTATGAATGTACGTACACTTGTATTATTATACAGATACACAACTCTTTTGCTCTGCTTATTTTGATGTACGCACATTTATCTTCAAAATCTTAGTCGTTATCATCATCATTTTCTTTTTAATCAGTATCGTCATCATCATCGGCATCATCATCGTCAGTATCAGTATCAGCATCATCATCATCGTCAGTATCAGTATCAGCATCATCATCATCGTCATCGTCATACGGAGGCAGTTTGAATTCAGCTCTCATCAAATAATTTCATTGCTTTGCCCAGATCACAACGGCACTACTATCACATAGTTAGTCATCAATCATCAATATTTCAACCTCATCGTCATTATTATTAATATTATTATTATTATTTATACTATTTTAATTACCATCTTCATCACAGAGCAAGAAAGTTCTTCGTATTATAGTGCTGGAGTTAAGCATGTCTTTAAAACATCTTCCCACAGTCTGCTGATGAATTGCTTTTTTTAATAGTTTTTGAAACTACTGAGCTAACTTTAAACGTTTAATTAATTCATTAATTCAATGATTTAATAATTCATCAATTCATTCATTCATTCATTCATTCGTTCATTCACTAGCAAAAAGTTGTAGATAAAATAAAATGCTGCTAGCGACATGGTAGGAACGATATTTCTTTAAATCTCTGTGACGAACTTCTGCAAAAAACTTGCCAGAAAAGATTTTTCAACTGGCAGATGTCAGCTCGGTTCCAAAGTTCCAAAATTTTTTTTCAAACTTTTTCAACTTTTTTATTTGCTTTATTTTCCAAATTTTAAATATGCAACTTTGAAAGATTCTTTGCTTAACTTTAGTTGCTAAATAATTATTTTATTTCTATATTTCGAATAATTTTTTATTTATTTTAAATAATTTTTATAAATATTTTTTAATGATAGCATAGGGGACATTTTTTTATTTCTTTCCATCATCTTCAGTGGCTGGGTTTGAACCATATGCTGTTGAAACTTTTGAGAGATACTTAAAGCAAGACAATTGTAAGAAATAATTAAATATTATAAATAAACATGAAATAATTATATAAAACACATGGGCTATTTGCATGTTTTTGCATGGCGCTCAAAGCCCATGAAGAAAGAGGAACCATTGTTTTCAAGTGAAAATTTATTCGAGACAAACAGTTAAATATATCCCTTAAAAATTCAATTGGACAATTACGTAATCTCTCTCTCCCTCTCTATCTTTCTCTCTTCTTTCTCTCTCTCCTCTCTCTCTCTCTCTCTCTCTCCTCTCTCTCCTCTTACACCAGTAACGCTAACAATCATCAATTCATATTTTTATATGTCTGAATATTAAGGTTTTTATTAGAATTTTGTGTTACAGATATGTATATATGTGTGTATGTATGTTTGTTTGTATGTGTGTGTGTGCGTGCGTGTGCGTGTGTGTATATATATGATTATTGTGTTATACATGATCAGTTTCAAATAGAAAAAATTACAATAACGATACTACCGCAATGATTAAGACGATGACAGCCAGCCAAATAAATGTATGTATGTGTGTGTGTGTTTTTGTATGTGTGTATGTGTTTGTGTGTGTGTATGTGTTTGTGTGCGTGTGAGTTTGTGTGTTTTTGTGTGTGTGTATGTAGGCGTTGTCGAATTTATAGATGAAACAAAAACATTGTCACACAAGTGTACATTCTACGTACTACTGAATGATCAAAACGTTCATGGGATGGGGTAAATAAATATTCAAACATACATATAAATACACACATACATAATTTTTCTAATGTATGTATGTATGTATGTATGTATGTATGTATGTATGTTTGTTTGTTTGTTTGTTTGTATGTCTGGAAAAAACAGTTCTTTCACATTTAAAAAGAGTGCCTAAAATGATTAAATATATATTACTCTTTGATGATGATGATGATGATGAAGAGGAAGAAGAAGAAGAGGAAGAAGAAGAAAAGGAAGAAGAAAAAGATGCTGATGATGACGAAGAAGATGACGACGATGGTGTTGATGATGATGACGATGTATATTAAAATAACTCAAATTCACAATAGTAACATATTTTTCGAAAAACTTCTTAATATTCGAAGGAGATCTGAGAGGGATTAAATCCCCGAAGAATGCGTTCGACGTAATTGAAAAATAAAAAAATCATTAGTTTTTATCTTCAAAGATTACATTTTCGGCGTTCCATATTCTCTTCTATTTATTCTTTGTTTCTTCCATAATCTTTGTTTTGATTTATATATTTTTTGCTCTTGTTTGATTTTTTTTCTATGGCGAATGTAACTTTTATTTAACACACATATTCGTCATTATTTTTTTACACAAACAATCACACACACACTCACACACGCACACACACAGACATATTCACATAAATATATATATATATATATATATATATATAAACATTTAGCGTCTATTTATCTTTAGTTTTTCTTATATTTTCAATTAAATTTCTTTCATTTCCGCTTCTTCATCTGAATATTTTTATTATCGTCTGCGCGTTTTCTGGAATATCAATTTCAGAAATATATCTATAGGAATTCATTCAGCCCGTTCAAATTTTAGAGATCGGGATTGTTTCCGGTTTTGTAGTGACGTCATCGTACCTACTTCCGGCATTCTGGCATCTTCCGCATCCGCCGGAAACCATCTTGAAAAGGATTTTCCGGAACTTGCGACCGACCAGACAGTAGAGGAGGAAGTTGATGGCTGAATTTAAAGTGAGGAGTAAGTTGGCCACGTGATTGGTCATCCTGAATGCCCACTGCTGATCTCTGGTCAATGAGGAGTAGGGGGAGTAGTCTTCGATGGTGGCCTGGATCCGGATGATGAGATCCGGGGTTTGGCAGAGGATGAAGACCGTTACGACGACGATTAACATCAGTGTGATGTTTTCGCGTTGCTTGGCTGTGGTCGGTCGGAAGTGATGCTGCTGCTGTGGCTGCTGTGGTTGCTGTGGTAGTGGCTTGTAGTGTTTCTGTTGAGAATGTTGTGGTGGCTGTTGTGGCCGTGGTTTTTGAATAAGTGATTGCTTTTCTCCGCCATTGTTGTCATTTTTTAGCTGCTGAAGTTGTCCTAAAGTGTTTTCGTTGTTGTTGTTGATGATGTTGTTGTTGTTGTTGTTGTTGTTGTTGTTGTTGTTGTTGTTGTTGTTGTTTGCACGGTGAACCGTAATGTCGTTCTCCAAGTTATTATCGACGATGTCGTTTATATCATCTTTGCCATTGAGGTCGTTCTTTAAGACGATGTTGTTGTTGTTGCGGTTGTTGTTGTTGTTGCTGCTGCTGTTTGTGTCGTTGTTGATGTTTTCAGTAAATGTATTGATGTCATCATTGTTGTTGACATCATCATCGTTGTGGTTGTTGTCGTTGTTGTTGGTACCGTTATTATTTGTATTATTCAATGCAACATTTTGTTCTTTGTCATTGGCAATGTTGTCTTCATCATCATCGTTGTTGTTGTTGTTATTATTATTATTATTATTCTTACTACTACAGCTAGTGTTATTATTATCAAATATTTTGCTGGCTTTATCCGAAAAATCTGGCTTGTTTTTATTTCGCTTATTACTGGCCCCACTGTTGAGCCTGGTGTTATTATTATTATTATTGTTGTTGTTGTTATTGTTGTTGTTGTTATTTTTATTATTATTGATGTTGTTGTTGTTGTTGTTGTTGTTGTGGCTGTTACAGCTGGCCATGATGGGATGAATGGATGGATTTCTTCGTCGTCGACTGACCCTCAACCTCTTGGGGAAAAAAAAACGTCGTCATCATCATCAACAACATCGTCACGGTCATCATCAACAACAGCAACAACAGCCACAGCAGCAACTCCAGCAGCCACAACAGCCACAGCAGCAGAAGTCGCAACAGCAGAAACCACAACAGCCACAACATCAACTAACACGCGTTAGTAGCAAGTTGAAGATGATAAGAACAGTCAATGGCCCCATAGACTTGAACACCAGCGACATACCAGTTTTATAAATGATTTGGTAATATAGGTCATTGATTAAATAGGTCATCTGTGAACCAATCAGGATGTAGTTGTATTTTGAGGTGCTAACTTCATCGTTGTCGTCATAATAATCGTCATCGTCATCGTCGTCGTCATCATGATTGTTGTTGTTGATTGCGTTTGCTGTTGTAGTGGTGATTTTGTTGTTGTTGTTGGTAGTGGTGATGGTGGTGGTGATAATGATGTTGTTGTTGTTGTTATGGCTGTTGTTGATGATGATTTTGTTGTTAATGACGTCATCATCGTCGTTGTCGTCGTC